GATGGTGAGCGCCTCGTGGTAAAGCTTCTCGGCGGTCTCCCAATCTTCCTCCTCCTTCTTCGCGGCAGCCTCATCTTTACGCGATGCCACAAATTAGCACAATTCCAAAATGCAGGCTGGCCTGCCCGTACCGAATTTCTGCTCGGCTTCCTTGAGGTTGCTCCTCCTGTCGGAGCCACCGAGGAAGTAGAACAAGACGGCACCACCAACGACCACAGCGGCACCAATGCCCAAAATCTTCTTCCAGTCGATTTCGCCGGAGGCGGTCTGCGCAACGGGGGACGGTTCGCTCATCTTTTTGTCGGTTCGGTCGAGAAAGGAGTGGATGGCCTCGAGATCAAGAGGCAAAGAGATCACGCGTCTTTCGATTTGTTGCAAAAATCAACCCAAGACAAAAAGCCACCTGAAACTGACGTTTCCCTGTATTTCCTAGAAATTGGTACTGGAGAAGCCGCACCGGTGCAGCCAGACCTTCTGCACAGGTTGTGAGACGTGCGTGGGTTGGCTGTCGACGACTTATGCTCATCCGTCGGCACCCCGCTCGTTGAAAGCAGCAATCGATCGATTCGTTGCCGAGTTGGTGTACGGATAAAAATAAATTAAAATAAATTAAAATAATACTCAAGATAATTGCGTGGCCGAGTTCAAACAAGAGAGCCCGCAACTAATCGATCTGCTTGTGCACGAAGTGAAAGGGCTACGAACAAAACCATGTTTCGTTCGAAAAAGGTTCCTTTCTTCTTTCGCCCCGTCCCATTCGCCTTTTCGCGTTCGTTCTTTACCCCCCCCCTGAACAACGAGATCACCAAATCGACAGCCCAAGAATAAGAGGCCTCTTTGTTGGTGTGGTTAGTTGATTTTATTGATTACTCTCGACTAGATTTATAATCGATTTATTACTTGCCTCTCGAGAGCAGCAGGGGAAGGAGCCCAAGGTGGAGGAGAAGAAGGGGAGATTCACACTCAAGCGGTCCAAGTCAAGGAAGAAACAGGCCGGCTTAGAGCACAACCCTGACATCTCTGATCCGCTGGGCTACATCCCGCCCGCGTCCCTCACCACCGCCAACCCTCCGCACGGCCAACACACCCCCGTACGCGCGCCCTCTCTATCCTCTTGAGCTCAATTCATTCCCGTTTTTGCCGTTCGTGCCGGCATCGACTTCGTTCTCCTCCTCTCGCTCCTCTTCCCTTTCCCTCCGCGAGCATGCGTTGCTGGCCTGTGCGCAGCCCAGTTCGTGTGGTCGCTTGTGTGGGCATTGCATGACCATCGCCACCTGTTGGTTCGCAGACGGTCGGCAACAGCGCCGAGTACGCTCTATTGCAGCAGCAGGGCGTCCAAGCACGAGCTCTCTACGAATATGGTATCATGCTTCACCTCTTGTTTGTGTGGCGTGGCACCTGCTTGGTTCGTTTTGCCATCAATCTCGATCTCAATCCCCTTTCCTCCCCCTTCTTTGAAGATCCCGAGCAAGAAGATGAGATTCAGCTCAAGGAGGGCGACATCGTGGTCGTTTACGAGAGAGACGAATCAGGTTAGGGTTTCTTCCACTCTGTTTGTAGGCGGCGCTCGTGCGTAAGCTCATCATACCTTCTCTCGCTCTCCATCGACGAGCAGGCTGGTGGACGGGCGAGTGCCGGGGGAAGTACGGCCTCTTCCCGGGGGCCTTCGTGGAGCTGCTCACGGGTCCCGAAGCGGCCGTCGCCTTTGCGGCGCCACACGACGCCCATGCCAGCGCGAACGCCCCGGCTGCCACCGCCGACGCCCAGAACAACAACGTCGAAGTCGAGGCCCTACCGGCTTCCGCCTCCATGGCCTCCCTGGACGGAGCCGATGGCGAGGCCGGCGAGGTCCTGTCTTACCTCGAGGAGGGGCTCCAGGAGAACGGTTCCCACAACGACGCCGTACGCTTTACACCACCCTTTCTCGCCAAGGAGCTGGAACGTAGGTGGTGGGCTGATGACGTGATGACGCGTTCGTATTTGAAATGCTGCAGCAGCACACCGGTGACGAGATGAGCGAGTTGTCGCAGTCCGGGGACCTGGAGACTTCGCGCGGTTCGGTGGCGACGGGCGAATCGCTCAAGGAGCAGCTCCACCAGAGCGAGGAGGACGCGCACCCGCCATCGGAGGGGCAGGACCTCACAGAAGTGGTTCACCAGCACCAGGAAGAAGCTGGAGAAGCGCAGCCTGCCCCAGTTCTTGCAAGCGAACCTGAGGCGCACCCCCGCACTCCCGGCTCTTCATCTTCCAAGGTGATGACTCGATTTGCCCCTGCGGCGGCCGAGGATGGGCAACAAGAGGCTCACCCCGCTTCGGGCGTAGATGCTAGCGCGCACACGCAGCTCGCCGAAGGTGCAGCCCCTATTTCTTTCACAATTTGTTTTTTATCGTCGCTTTCTCTTTCTCTTTCGCTTTAATTCAATATTCATTTATTTATTTAAATGCACGTGCTAACTGGGTCGCTTGACGACTGGTCTGCAGACCAGGGCGGTTTGCAGGTCGACGCCGCGACGTACCAGGCGTGGGAGCAGGAGCGGGCAGAGTGGGAGCAGCACTCGCGAGAGTGGGAGCAGAGCTACAACAGCCTCAGCGCCGAGTACGAGGCCACTAAGCAAGAAAAAGAAGATATTCTTCGACAGCTGGAGGACATTCGCCAGGCGTACGAACAGCAAGCGGTACCGCTCGCGCGTCTCCGTGTGCCATGCGGGGAAAGTTATGTTAAAGGAATTACTCACATTCCGTGAATTCAACAACTACAGGCAGCGATGCAGGCTCTGCAGGAGCAGCTTGATCACCAGAGGCTCATCGCTCAGAGCGAAAAGGCCACCGCCGACGACCTGCTCGCCAGCGTTCAAAGACTCGAGGAGCAGCTGCAGGAAGCGGAGCGAGAAAAGGTCCAGGCCCAAGCGTCCACCCTCTCGGCCGAAGTCAACGCCGAGGAAATTGCTCGTCTTCACTCTCTCCTTTCCGGTACGCTTCGCCCCTTTTGCCGCCGGCGCCGGCGTTGTGTCCCCCTGATCTCTCACGTCTCCCTCCCACTCCAGACGAAGTGAAGCAAAGAGAGAGCGCGGAGAAGGTGCTTGACGAGGAGAGGCAGCGCTCGGCGGAGCTTGCAGAGCAACTGCACAGCGAGCAACAGCAGCGCGCGGAAGTCGAGAAGAAGCTCGAACAGGCCAACAGAGACGTCCACGAGAAGGTGGCCAAGGTATGACATTCCACGCATTCCGCTGACATGTCGAAACGATCAACCAATAGCTCTCTCATTATTTTATTTGTTCGTCTCCATAGGTGGAAGAGACTTTGCTGCGCCATCTGCACGATGTCAAGGCCCAGCTCGCCGCGGCCATTAGCGCTCGCCCCTCTTCTCGCCCGTCGTCGCGTCCCTCATCGCGTCCGTCCTCCACCCATTCCTCGCCCTCATCTTCGTTCATTGCGCACCCTCGCTCGCAAGGCAGCAACTCCGCCGTACCCACCACGGCCCACCCTTCGTACCACCACCATCACCCGCCGACCACCGCTGCCCATTCTGCTGTCGCCGGCGGTCCGGCGCCGCAGTCCGGCGCCGGCCACAACCGTCCCCTGCCGCCATCCGCCGGCGCCAGGGTCCCTCCATCCACCGGCGGCCACCCGCACCAGTACCTCCGACCGGTTGCTCCCGGCGGCGGTCAGGACCCGCACGCTGCTGCGCCGGTCGGAGGGCCACAGGGCCGCCCGACTCCGCCCACCGCCGGGGGTCATCCGGGACCTGCCGCTCGCGGACGTGGCGGCCCGCCGACCAGAGGCGGAGTCCCGCCGCCCGTGCGAGGCCGAGGGGAGCCCATGCAGCGTCCACAGATTCCTCCTGGTACCCCGAGCCTCCTGTCGCGTTGGCACTTCGCTTTCGTTCTTTTAGGGCAAAGAACGAAAGCGATTCGTTATCGTTATGGTGTAGCATCTCATTCTCATCGGTCTTTTGTCGCAGGTTCGCAGAAGCCGCAGCTGACGGCCCAGCCTGTGGGTCCGCGAATGGTTCCGATCGGCGGTACGGCACGAGCTGCCGTTTCGCGCCCGCCGCCCGGGCGTCCACGCGGCACCACTGCCGTGCCCGGCGGTGCCGTGGCCGCGAGCAACCTGCATCCCCAGCAGCCACCCACCAGCCAGAACGCCTAACCGCCACCAACGCCACGGCACCCTGGGCTTGTACTCCACAACCAACCACCAACAACAACTTCCCAAACTCCCCGCCTTCTGCCTGGCTCCGCCGCGTCGTCGCGCACTTTGCCGCCAACGGCGGGATTTTTTAAGTATTTGAAATTGAGCGTAGAGGCGAGATCCTTGAACCACAACAACTCCGGTTGGCATCCTCCGTAGTGGCGAGGCGAAGGATTCGGGATCGTACAGTGGTACGTACCCACAACCAAGCAAACACGCTCCCCCCTCCCAGAAGACGCTCTCCTCGCTTCGTTCTTTGGAGCAAAGAGAAAGCGAAAGGTTCGGTCTGTCGACACAAATCTGCCACTCGTTCACCGGTGTAGGGCACGACACAGCTCACCCAGTTCCTACTCTGCCAGGCAACAAAACAAAAACTCAGCCCAAACTACAACAGCGAGCGAGCGACAAAGTCATGAGTGCCACGACGGCGGTGTCGAAGACCAAGGAGGAGGTGGCGGACCAGGAGGAGGCCCTCCTGCTCAAGAAAAAGAAGAAGGACGAGAAGAAGGAGAAGAAGGAGAAGAAAGCGAAAAAGACGAAGAAGGAGGGGGACGCGGACTCCGCAGTGAGGAAGACAACGAAGACGAAAAAGAAGACGAAGGAGGGAAGCGGCGAGGCGGCGGCGGACGGAGCCACCACCGGTGAGCTGAAGAAGAAAAAGAAGAAGAAGAAGCCAACGGCCAAAGGCGAAGACCAGAGCGAAGTCAAGAAGGACAAGAAGAAAAAGAAGAAGAAAAAGCCCGAAGGCGCTCCCTCCACCGGGACCGACGTCGAGCCCCGCAGCGTCCAACAGTACGCGCCACTATCATGTCCCTCCTCCCACCAATTCCCCTTTTTTCCCTTTCCCCTCGTGGCTCCTGACACTCGGACCAAACCTGTGCCACGCAGGCTGGTCAAGGACGTGCAGGACGCCCCTACCACCCCGCCAGCCCCCAAGGTGCGCTCCTGGTGCGAGGAATAATAACAATAATTAAAATAGTAATAAAAAAAAATTACTAAACCAGCTCTGGCCGTGTCAGGCGGCGGGAGCTGCGACGGCAGCCCCGGCCGCTGATGATTCGGACGACGACGATGAAGAGGCGGCGGCCTACCCGACCGAAACATCCCAGGAGAAGGCCCTGCGGATCATCAAGTACGCTTCCTTGCCGTGTGCCCATGGCGTTAGGCCGAGTTCTAACCGCAACACGACACGCACACGACGCACACACGACACACACCGACCGCTGTAGAGAAACGAAGGACAGCTGCCGGTATGCTATCGCACTCACCTCTCTGCAGCTGAAGGACGACCAGTTCCCGGAGGAGTTCTCCGATCTCGAGGACATCGCCACGTCGGTGGACCTGTCGTTCAATCTGTTGGCCGACATCCCTCTTCCGCTCCTCCTTCTGAGCAACTTGCAGGTGTGGCCCCTCTTCTTTGTTTGCACTGGACCGGCTGTCACCTGATCCCCTACCCGTGTCGTGCCGTCGCGTGTCGTGTGCGTCGTGTGCGTGTCGTGTGTTGTGTGGCGAGCTCAGAGACTCAAGATGCAAAGCAACGTGCTGGAGAAATTCTCTCTCCTCAGGGGCGCGTTCGCCTCGCTTCAGGAGTTGGACCTCAGCGGAAACAACCTCACCTCTCTTCCCATCGAAATCGTATCTCTCTCTCTCTCTCTCACACACACACAACACACACCATAACATCACTCTCACCGCGGTCAAGCCAAGGACACAGCTTAGCACCCAATCAATCGAGTACTCGCGGCTGATTGGCGATGTGGTGTGGTGGTGGGGGGTATGCAAAAAACCATAGGGCTACCTGGCCAACCTGAGGGTGTTTGACGCCAGCAACAACCGGCTGGAGGCCCTGCCCGCCGAAATCGGTGCTCTCACCAAGCTGGAGGAGTTCCGTCTCTCCGGCAACCTCCTGTGCGAGCTCCCCAAGACCATCGGCAACTGCAGTCGGCTCGAGGTGCGAGCCCCCCCATTGTCGCGTTCGCTTTTTTGAAAAAAGAGCTGACTTCGTTCTTTTCTCGTTCGATCGATTGGGGCCGCATAGATTCTCGACCTGGTGGGTTGTAAGCTGAAGCAGCTGCCAGACCAGATCACCTACCTCTCCAAGCTGGTCGAGCTTGACGTCTCGGCCAATCTCCTCGAGAGCCTGCCCGCCGCCATCGGCCTGCTGCCTCGCCTCAACGAGCTCAAGGCCACCAACAACTCACTCACCGACCTCCCGTCTCCATCGCCTGCATTCCACACCTCCAGGTGAGCGACTTGGCCACTTTTCTCTGCGTCGTTGGCGCCTTGCCTTGGTTGGCGCGTGGGCTCACCTTTGTTGACGTTGACAGCGCATGTCTCTCAACGGGAATGCGTTCACGGATGACGACCTGGCCGTGTTCTCTGTGAGAAGCTCCAACGCGCTGCTCAGCTTCCTCAAGGAGCGGCTCACGACCACCATCGGTACTCCCTCGAAGCTCAACCTTTCGGAGCTAAAATATTGAGCTTGGCCGTTACTGCCTGCAATCACAGGCGACCCGAAGCAAGTGCGGGAGTACATGAAGGGACTCGGCGAGCAGCGGGAGCCTCTGGTCCAAGTCACTGCTCCGCAGGACGGCAAGGTATGCATACCTGACCGCTCGCTTCCCCGATTGGCGCGTTGCTACCGAACGAGCGGGGCTCACGCCAAAACTGCTCGGTCTCTCCTACATGCAGGGCGGCTTCGTGATCCAGGAGAAGCTCAGCCACGAAAAGGAGGTGCAGCGGAAGGCCGAAACTGAGAAGAAGGACGTCGAACTGCGAGACAAGATCCTGTACGCCTTTCCTTCGACAGGGGTTGTGTTGTGTCGTGTGTGTCGTGTGCCATGCGTGTCGTGCGTGTCGTGTCGTGTGCCTGATCAAAGCTCAACATTCCAGGCATCTCAAGAAGTTGTCGGTTGATCAGTACTCGCGGGTCAACGAGTGGGTGTACGAGATGAAGAACCGCAACTGGGCGCAGAACGACCCGCAGGCGTCGATCCACCTGGCCACCTACGTCGGCCAGCTCAAGGGCCAGATGGACGTCATGAAGGAGAGGATCGCCCCCTACGTCATGGAGAACTACAAGACCGTCCAAGCCCAGGTATTCATTACGCGACCACCCATCACCCCCCCCCCCAATCACCCACCCCGCTATGCAGGCCATGATGATGAACGAAAAACGTGCGCAGGAGGGCGAAGACAAGATGATCTTGCTCAAGAAGTCGGTGGACGTGAGCCTGGACAACGTGAGCGTGGTCGTGCGGGCGCTGATGAAGGGAATCCGAGAGGATCCGGACATGGGCAAGGTCGTCCTGTTCGCCAAGGACCTGGTGACCTTCTACAACCACTTCGGCAAGTTCTTCGGCGAAGGCGCCGCTCCGGAGGCCGAACCCGCCCAGCCCCAGCAGTAGAGCTCGCAACACGGCACCACCATACGCCATGCCAAGCACCATTTATATTTCGGCAATCAATCTAAAATGAACAACGCAGTGACACGCTGGGGCCATGGTTGTTAGCCCTGAGTCGGTTGGTTGAACGCACCTCGAGCCTCGAAGAACTGGCACGAAACAACCAACATAACACCTCTTCAGCACACCAGCTCTGAGAGAGAAGAGAGAGAAGAGGTACCCTGTAGAGGATGTCGTGGAGGATGTGGAGGTGCTTGATGGCGGGCACCACCACGGCAGGGTCTTGCTCAGTTCTGATGCCCTGGATCAGAGCCCGTACGGCCAGCGAGGTGTTCTCCAGCAGCACGATGTTCTGAATCACCGGCTCCGCATCTGATACAGTGCGACAAGTGTGTGAGCCACAGTGGCGGCTTAGGAACACCGCCGGGGTGCGAACGCCGCGAGCACGAGGCCAGCACCTTCTTCGACCTCGGTCCACGTTTGCCCCGCGGTCATCCACCGCGTCGCACACTCCTTCATCGCCTCCAGGCTTGTCCTTACCGCGGTGGTCTGGGGTGCAGGAGTTGAGCGCCGCCCGCAAAGAGAATTGGGCTGAGCTGAGGAGAGGTTGGCGTACGAGCTGCTCGTCAAGAGGCGGGGCGTCGGGGTCGCATTCGAGATTGAGGTCCGCGATGAACCCGCTCACCTGCTCGAACTGAGTGCGGGCGATCTCCTTCAAATGGAAGATCTGCCCTCCAGAACAATGTTAGCCGTAGCCGCACCTAGAAGCTGAGCCAAAAACCATAAGACGAGCAACCTTGTCCCTGAGGGTGGCCTCCTTGCGCAGTGTCATCGCCCTCTGTTGCTTGGGATCGATCACGGGCGCCTCGACCACCTTCTCCGGCTCGACCCAGCCCGGCGGGTGGACCTCTGGCACCTTTGGCCTAAAGTGGAAGCCGGCATCAGCAATCTCTCATTC